TCTACTAACAAACAGGAGATTAATTAGAAACTAGCTACAAGAATATCTTATTAGATACATTTAGGTTTGAAAGACATACAAACGAAATATAGATGTCCACATATGTTTGCATGTATGTGTGAGAGAAATACTCCACGTATTTCCTTGAGGAAACTGAAAGGCCTCCAGTGTGGAAATAGTTTATAACCCATAAGAAGTGAAAGCTAAATAACAAATCTGCTTGCAAGATTTCTCTTCCTCCCCTCATGGGATTGTCTCCTCATAGATTCCAAGGCCAGAAAGTACCATTGTGATCATCCAGTCTGACCTCCTGTGTAACACCGGCCAGAGAACTTCCCCAAAATAATTCCGAGAGCAGATCTTAAATATAAAAAAAGAATCTAATCTTGATTTTAAAATTGCCAGTGATGGAGAATCAACCATGGAACTTAGTAAACTGTTCCAATGGTCCCTGATGAGGCCACAGCAAGCCTGGTGGCTGAGCTTTGTGACTTTGTCCTCACCCACAACCACTTCAAATTTGGGGACAACTTATACCTTTAAGTCAGTGGCACTGCTATGGGTACCCGCATGGCCCCACAGTATGCCAACATTTTTATGGCTGACTTAGAACAACGCTTCCTCAGCTCTCGTCCCCTAGTGCCCCTCCTCTACTTGCGCTACATTGATGACATCTTCATCATATGGACCCACGGAAAGGAGGCCCTTGAAGAATTCCACCTGGACTTCAACAATTTCCACCCCACCATCAACCTCAGCCTGGACCAGTCCACACAAAAGAGATCCACTTCCTGGACACTACAGTGCAAATAAGTGATGGTCACATAAACACCACCCTATACCGGAAACCTACTGACCGCTATACGTACCTACATGCCTCCAGCTTCCATCCAAGACACATCACACGATCCATTGTCTACAGCCAAGCCCTAAGATACAACCGAATTTGCTCGAACCCCTCAGACAGAGACAAACACCTACAAGATCTTTATCAAGCATTCGTAAAACTACAATACCCACCTGGGGAAGTGAGGAAACAGATTGACAGAGCAAGACGGGTACCCAGAAATCACCTACTACAGGACAGGCCCAACAAGGACAATAACAGAACACCACTGGCCATCACATACAGCCCCCAGCTAAAACCACTCCAGCGCATTATCCACGATCTACAACCTATCCTGGAAAATGATCCCTCACTCTCACAGACCTTGGGAGGCAGACCAGTCCTTGCTTACAGACAACCCCCCAACCTGAAGCAAATACTCACCAGCAACTACACACCACACCACAGAAACACCAACCCAGGAACCTATCCCTGTAGCAAACCTCGTTGCCTACTCTGGCAACAGCATCAGAGGACCCAACCACATCAGCCACACCATCAAGGGCTCATTCACCTGCACATCCACTAATGTTATATATGCCATCATGTGCCAGCAATGCCCCTCTGCCATGTACATTGGCCAAACCGGACAGTCCCTCCGCAAAAGAATAAATGGACACAAATCGGACATCAGGAATGGTAACATACATAAGCCAGTAAGTGAACACTTCAATCTCCCTGGTCATTCTATTACAGATTTAAAAGTCACTATCATTGAACAAAAAAACTTCAGAAACAGACTTCAAAGAGAAACAGAAGAACTAAAATTCATTTGCAAATTCAACACCATTAATCTGGGCTTGAATAGGGACTGGGAGTGGCTGGCTCATTACAGAAGCAGCTTTTCCTCTCCTGGAATTGACACCTCCTCATCTATTATTGGGAGTGGACTACATCCACCCTGATTGAATTGGCCCTGTCAACACTGGTTCTCCATTTGCGAAGTAACTCCCTGCTCTCCATGTGTCAGTATATAATGCCTGCATCTGTAACTTTCACTCTATGCATCCGAAGAAGTGAGGTTTTTACTCACGAAAGCTTATGCCCAAATAAATCTGTTAGTCTTTAAGGTGCCACCAGACTCCTTGTTGTTCCAATGGTTAATTACCCTCGCTGTTAAAAATTTACACCTTGTTTCAAGTCTGAATTTGGCTAGTGTCAACTACTTTCAGCATTAGATTGCGTTATACCTTTTTCTGCTAGACTGAAAAGCTTATTAAATATTTGTTCCCCATGTAGATACTTTACAGACCATGATCAAGTCAACCCTTAACCTTTCCTTTATTAAACTAAATAGATTTATGCCTGAAGTTAACACCATAAGGCAGGTTTTCTAATCCTTTAATCATTCTCACGGCTCTTCTCTGAGCCCTTTCCAAGATAAATTGCGGACACCATATTACAGCCTTGATGGCACCAGGGCCAAATACAGAGGTGATATAACCTCTCTACTCCTACTCGAGCTTCCCATTTATGCCTCCAAGGACTGCATTAGCCCTTATGGCCACAGCATCACACTGGGAGCTCATGTTCAGCTGATTATCCACCATGACCGCCAAATCTTTCTCAGAGTCACTGCTTCCCAAGATAAGAGCCCCCCATTCTGTAAGTATGGCCTACATTCTTTGCTCCTAGATGTATATATTTAACCACATCAAAGTGCATATTTTCTTGCACCCAGCTTATCAAGTGATCCAGATAACTCTATGCGGGACTTGTCCTCTTCATTATTTACCACTCCCCGATGTGTGTTATCTGCAAACTTTCAGTGATGATTTTATGTTTTCTTCCTTAACTCATGCAATCCATTTTGTATCACAAGGATATGCACCCATAGGATACAGAGCCAGTATATGTTTCAAATTGATTAGAAATTAATTGCAATGATTTCAGTTAAATGAGAGGAAGAGGAGAGGGGCTACATCAAGCAAGCAGCAGTGAATAATCAATATTAATATTTCTGCAATACAAAGTGTTCAGCTTTGATACTTTCCCTACTCAGTCTTCTATGGTGTCACCACATTTGGGCAAGTATCACAGGTTCCTAAGCATACTGAAAGCTCTAGAATTTATTCAGAGCCATCCTGTTCAACAAATCGCATCTATTCAAGCATATCTTATCAATCACTGTGGCTTTGTACAATGGTGTACATAGACTTTAAGGTCAGAAGGGACCAATATGATCATCTAGTCTGACCTTCTGCACAACGCAGGCCACAGAATCTCACCCACCACCTACTCCCGCAACAAACCCCTAACCTATGTCTGAGCCATTGAAGTCCTCAAATCATGGTTTAAAGACTTCAAGGTGCAGAAAATCCTCCAGCAAGTGACCCGTGCCCCATGCTGCAGAGGAAGGCGAAAAACCCTCAGGGCCTCTGCCAATCTGCCCTGGAGGAAAATTCCTTCCCGACCCCAAATATGGCGATCAGCTAAACCCTGAGCATGTGGGCAAGACTCACCAGCCAGACACCCAGGAAAGAATTCTCTGTAGTAACTCAGATCCCAACTCATCTAACATCCCATCACAGGCCATTGGGCATATTTAACGCTAATAGTCAAAGATCAATTAATTGCCAAAATTAGGCTATCCCATCATACCATCCCCTCCATAAACTTATCAAGCTTAGCCTTGAAGCCAGATATGTCTTTTGCCCCCACTACTCCCCTTGGAAGGCTGTTCCAGAACTTCACTCCTGTGATGGTTTGAAGCCTTTGTCTAATTTCAAGTCTAAACTTCCTGATGGCCAGTTTATACATTGACATAACCACACAGAATTTTCTGCTTTGAGTTACCACACAGTCTTAGGACTAAAAAGAAAAGTATATTCATTATCAGAGTATCAAATATCCTCAGGAGTTCCAAGATTTTTGTTTAATGGAGCCACCTTTTGCCAACCTAAAGATATTTATACTATAGATTTCCAACCTACTGTTTCCATGGTAGTTTGTAAATTCAGAAGCTACTGAAGTCAGTTTTTTCTGAAGGCTAATATCACACCTGCTTTTGTTACATACTGCAATCTTACTTGTGTTTGAAAAGCCACAAGGAAAACAAGCAAGAAGGTCAGTGTTTTTACTTTATGATCCACTCAATCTTTGATCTACCAGCTATAATGGTGGCTTTTGTGATATAGATGCCCACCAGGAATTGGACTGAAGTCAATTTGTGTCAGAAAGCCACTGAAAATCCATCACACAAAAGCCAGTTTCAGTTGTTACCAACATGAGTTAAAAAGAAACCAGCCAAACCAACTGCAATGTCATTTTCTAGCCTTCCACTTCCATTTGCCAAAAACTCACTGTTAAATCATGGTGATCTATAAGGATGATACAGACTGAGGAAGGGCATCCGAGGACCAGTGTGGAGAACAGACCATTGTAATGACCCACCTAACCATCCACACTCGTGTCTGGAGGCAGGACAATTTTAACTGTCAGAGTGCCCTGGAAACCAACAAGTTACATTGTCTCCTTGGTTGGACCATCACTGCAGTTGCCTGTTTCTACAGGCGAGCAGAAGAGTCCTAATCTCACCCTGGAGGTGGTGCCCATGGTCACCATCGGGATTGTTCCTTATATCCCCAAAATCTACACACGTCTAGAAAGATAGATCCAGAGTGTATCCACTTGGAAGTGTAGAGTCAAACGACCTGGCGCAGGCCCATGGTAACAGGGCCATGAGGTCTCAGGCTAACAAACCAGATCCGTCATCTCTACTAATGCAAAATCTCTTCGAGACAATTAGTCTAGAGGTTTGCCTAAATGGCAAGCAGAAACCCAGAGCAGCAAATCTCACAGCATGGCTCTACAGACTCTGGCTCGAAAGCCTACGGAGAGGGGTGGGCTTCAGAGGCCAAGCTCAGACATGTACACGGCTGTTTTAGCACCATAGTGTCAGCCAAGTCTTTAGACCCAGGTGTTTTAAAATGCAGTGTAGACTTACCCTTGGTGACTCCAGGGTCAGTTCTGACAGCAGTTCTCCTAACCTTAGATGTGCACGATGCCAGGAACTGGCCTGTTTACCACCAGAGTTCTAATGTCAGTTAGTGACAGATTAACTTTTCAATGTGGCATTTGTTACTGCTTTTTTTTTTTTAAGCTATGTTTTTACCTTTTGGTGGAGGGCTACTGGTGTCCTCCATAGAAAGTTTCAGCTGTTGTATGAACTCGCTGCCATACACGCTCCTTTCTTGCCAGATGTTAAGCAGTCGCTCCAAGGGCTTTTTGCAGCCCTCATCTGCCTCTCTGTTTAAATATTTTAAAAAAATAGTTAAAACTTTGGTTAAACAACATGAGTATGTTTTTTTTAATATGCCATCGTGCAAATTAGGAGCTGCACCCATCAGAGGAAGATGCAAGCTTGGGGACAGGCTTTCTTGTACCGTCTGGAGTACACTGTGCAAAATACTTAGGTAACATTTTCCCCTTAAGCTGGAACCCAGTGTGTAGAAGTAACCGCAGTCTTTTCTGCCCACCCCACCCCCCATTGCAGAAGAACTTTTGCAGGGAGGGAAAAATAGTATCTTTCTGCTGTTGTAGAAAGAACTATGAAAATCCTACAAAGTTACCAGGTTTATAGTTTAAAATGTTCATGTCTAATGATTGTTTCAGTCAATGACATCCTAATTAAAAACGAAATTGTTTGGGTCATTAGGCATTCAAATGAGAATTTACTTATTAAACATCAACCAAATTAGCAGGACTTCTAAGGAATAAGAAACAGTGCCAAGAGTTATGTAGTTATCCAGAACACACGGTCATTAGATGCTCTTTAATTCCCCTGTGCATTATAACTGTTTGGTTCAGGGACTACGCTCGTCTCTAAATAGTATAACAATCCCTAACTAGCTATGGACCATCTTATGACAGGAAGGAGGCCTATCATTTGATAACAGTTGATATGAGCCAGTAAAGCTCACACAATTTGGAACTACCAGATATATAGATTCTGAGACATAATTTAACTCTATAATCAGATCTCACCTAGTAGCATATTAAAATGATGTCTACACAAAAGCAAGACATAAAAGAACTGTACTCTAAAGCCCCCTGATGAGATTGTATAGAAGAAGGAAGTTTAAATTAAGTTTTCTATAGGGAATATTCTAGCTAGTAACATGTTTCAGACCTATCTATAACTTTTTAGGTAGGTAAGTGAGATCTAGAAATAGATTTATTTTTTTAAATATGAAGATAATTTTTAAACTGCACATCTTTTGGAAAAACCAAATATAGCAGCTAATTAGCAGCACAGCAGCAGAAAACAAAAGCAGAATCATAGAATCTCAGGGTTGGAAGGGACCTCAGGAGGTCATCTAGTCCAACCCGCTGCTCAAAGTAGGACTAATCCCCAGACAGATTTTTGCCCCAGATCCCTAAGTGGCCCCCTCAAGGATTGAACTCACAACCCTGGGTTTAGCAGGCCAATGCTCAAACCACTGAGCTATCTCTCCCCGCCCCAAACTGGTGTGTGTGGTCATATTAATAAAGCACTTTGAAATAACACAATTTCAAAGCTCATTATAGAAAAAAACTGGTCTAGTGGACTGACCTGATAGCTAGTAGTCAGGAAACCCGAGTTCTGTTTCAAACTCTCCCACTAAGGGAAAGAGTTACTCATTGTGTGACACTCTCTTCTAGTGACAAATTATGTGACTTTGGACAAGTCATTTAACTGCTCAGTTTCACCATCTTTAGACCAGAGATGATTTCCAACTTTGTACAGAGCTTTGAGATTTATGGATTAGTGTAAAGTATTTAACCTGCATAGGAGTTACGCACAAAAAAACCCACAAACCAACTGTTATTGCACAGAACCAAAATCAGAACCAGCTTCCCACAACTTTACTTCTGTTTCTCAAGAGCAAGGCAAAACTGACAATTTCTTAACGGAAAGGAGTTAGAGTTCAGCTTCTAGTAAAGACAATTTAACCTTCCTGAGCAAACATATTCCTATAACTGAAAAGCACTTGAATTTAAACTTGTGGAATATTTAACAAAAGCTATGGAGAAAGAAATTGGAGAAGGAAAGCTGAATGGATGAATGTTCAAACTTACCTGGCAACATGAGAAATAGCATCCACAAGAACAGATTCAAACTCCCTTGTGAATTCAGGACCCTTCCTTTTACTGTTCTGGATGACATCGTTCGCCAAATATAGAAATGTAAGCTTCCTACTTGATTTTGCTGGGAAAGAAGAGAAGACAACTTAACTTGCATTCTTTATTTCTCATTTCATGTTTTATTCTGAGGCTACTTGTTATACATTCCAAAAGTGGTCACAGTTTCTCAGCTTAAAATATGGCTGAGTTTCCTGCATTTCAATTTTACCAAAGTAGCAAAAGCAGCTAGCTGCTTTTGATCAACCAGTTCTTGACTCTCTTTGCTTTAGCTAGAATTTGGTTTGTAATTAATTTATAAAACAAAAAGGGAAATAATCCTAGTATTACTGTGCATCTTTCATCTGATGATCTCATAGTGCTGCATAAACATTAAACCTCACCACAAGTATAGGTTAAAATGAAAAGAAGAACTGTTGCAACTTAACACCAAATTAATGTGACAATAGACTTATTTTTTATCAAATATATTGAAACAGTATTATTTTAGCCTTATACTTAAACCGTTTAATTACTGAACATCCCTGGATGGAAGAGCTTGAACCTAGGACCTTTTATTTTTCAAAATCAATTTTTCTAATCCATGCTACATGGAAATAGCTATTAGCAATGTGTTTTTACTCAATCCCACGAAAGTTAGCTTTTTCCATTTATCACCATTAGTCAATGCCAACAGACCCTACATTCTGAAGAACAGGATCTACAGGAGACAAACTCTCTAGAATATATGCAAAGCTATATTATACATGACGACAATTGAGAATTTACATACACAAGAGTCAGGAAATTCAGCTATGGTTCCCACAGCAAGCCTAACTCAGCTCTTTCAAATACATAGTCTTTTCTATTACCATATATGGTGACACCTAATACCTTATATTAGTGCAGGACTAACAAAATCTTGCCAAGTAAAAGGCATGCAGCTAGACTATCAATTTCTGCAGATTCTAAGCTTTCACGTTTAAAAACTTCCAAATGTGACTCCATACAGCCCCATCTACCTCAACTGGCAAAAAAACTACCATATCTGCAACAAGCAGCAAAATGAAATTAAAACTCCGGTCAGTTTCACACCTATTCATAAGAAAGGCCATACTGGGTCAGACCAAAGGTCCATCCAGCCCAGTATCCTGTCTACTGACAGCGGCCAATGCCAGGTGCCCCAGAGGGAGCAAACCTAACAGGTAATGATCAAGTGATCTCTCTCCTGCCGTCCATCACCACCCTCTGACAAACAGAGGCTAGGGACACCATTCCTTACCCATCCTGGCTAACAGCTGTTAATGGACTTAACCTCCATGAATGTAACTAGTTCTCTTTTAAACCTGGTTATAGTCCTAGCCTTCACAACCTCCTCAGGCAAGGAGTTCCACAGATTGACTGTGCGCTGTGTGAATAAACTTCCTTTTATTTGTTTTAAACCTGCTGCCCATTAATTTCATTTGGCGGTCCCTAGTTCTTATATTATGGGAACAAGTAAATAACTTTTCCTTATTCACTTTCTCCACACCACTCATGATTTTATATACCTCTATCATATCCCCCCTTCGTCTCCTCTTTTCCAAGCTGAAAAGTCCTAGCCTCTTTAATCTCTCCTCATATGGGACCCGTTCCAAACCCCTAATCATTTTAGTTGCCCTTTTTTGAACTTTTTCTAATGCCAGTATATCTTTTTTGAGATGAGGAGACCACATCTGTACGCAGTATTCAAGATGTGGGGGTACCTTATATAAGGGCAATAAGATATTCTCAGTCTTATTCTCTAACCCTCAGGGAGGATCATTGCAAAATGCAATGTAGACACTAGAAAGGTAGACACTGGATGAATTCCCAGGAAAAGAAAGCCCAAAAAATGTCTGTGTGAGGCCACCACATTTCTACCATGTAGCAGTCCCCAAAGAATAGGGATATTGGAAAAATACCATGACTTCAAGACAAAACAGCGGATAGACTACTTTGACAATTATCAGAGGGGTAGCCGTGTTAGTCTGAGGTTCTTACCCACGAAAGCTTATGCTCCCAATACTTCTGTTAGTCTTAAAGGTGCCACAGGACCCTCTGTTACTATTTACTTTGACAATGTTATTTCTATGATTTTAAAGAACATGTATTCATAAGTGTTATGATCTGGGTATCTGATTCTGCAAAACGCTGACCAGTTTTGCTAACTCCCATTGCTCTTGGCAGGTTTTACTGTACTCCAGCTGACTCTCAGGGCTTGTCCACATAAAGTTTTTGCACAAAGTTCAGTCAGTCAGTGCAGCCCTCTAGTACGGATGCAGTTACACTGGTTTTTAAGTCTTCACATCAACGATATCTATTAGGGTGACCAGACCGCAAGTGTGAAAAATCAGGACGGGGGTGGGGGGGTAATGGGAGCCTATATAAGAAAAAGACCCCCAAATCGGGACATCTGGTCACCCTAATATCTATACAAACTTTTAAAATCTAGGTACACTTCACCCCACCTCAGCAGGTGCGGGGGGGGTCGGAGTCTCTGACTTCTTGAGCTCCCTTACAGCCGCACACGTCTCTGAGTCTACACGGAAGCGACATCCGTCCTAGGGACTTGCCCCCATTGACTACACGAGGTTTCCGAAAGCCCCTTTCAGACGGGGAGCGCACTGGGCAGGGAAGGGTGCGCCAGGCGCAACGCGAGACGAGCGCCCCGCCAAGGGGCAGCCCGCCGGGAGGAGGGGAAACTCCCGCCCCGCCGCCCGCGAGCGGCTCCGGAGCAGGAGCGAGCCCCAGCGTGCAGGAGTCGGACGCTGGGTACCGACCCAGGCTGGCCTGGGCCCGTGTCTGGCGCTCCGGCGAGGCCCCCCCCGGCCCCCCGCCCCGGGCTCTTCGCAGCCCCCCGGAGCCCGGTACCTTTGCGGAGCTCGCGGTGCCACACGGAGACGATGGGCCCGGCGTGCTTGCGGTGGTGGATGAGCCACAGCGACAGGGTCTGGACGCTCTGCTGGGAGTTGCTCAGCTCCGAGAGCTTCTTCTCCAGGGCCGACTCCGAGAAGGAGGACATGGCGCCGCCCGGCCCGGCCCGGCCCCGGGGCCTGCTCAGCCCGGGGGGGAGGGGGCGCGGCGGGGCCTCACCAACAACAAACCGCCACCGCTGTCGCAAGATGGCCACCCGACCTCTCACCCCGCCTGGGCGGGTCAAAGGGCCACATGCTACGGGTCGCCAGCGGGGAAAAGAGACCACCCGTGTGTCCAGTTATAGCTCACACATCACACCGGGCCAGAGGCGGGCGCGGGAAAGCGGCGCATGCGCAGCGGAGACTTCTCTAACCTTTACCCGGCGCCCGCCGAGGACGCCTGCGCTGTATGCGGAACTGAGCCCGATTTCAAATCTCCGGCACGGGGCAGCTCCGCATGCGCAGTGCGCTCACCTGAGACTTTTCTGGTGTCTTCTTCCTGCCTAGACAAGCTGGGGAGTTTTTTCAC